CGCGATTCACCTGTAGAATATTAACCGCGGAATGTCACTCAGGGTTTGTGTGAGACGTTTCTTTTTTGATGTTTGCCTGTTCTCCTGAAGAAAATTACAGTAGCTGTTTAGAAGGGTGAAATAGGATACCTCAGGTAAATTTCTTGTCGTAAAGAAAATCCACTCAATTCCGGGCCAAATAAAAAGAAGAAGAAAAATCACAAAGTGGCCTTGATAAAGAATTTGCCTCATATTCGTATCAGAGTCCGTATGTAAGATTCTATCGTCAAACTCACCATCGCATCTTACGGTATTCTCTTCAATGGAAGCGAGGAGGTTACTGAGGACCACGCCGGCGCCGAGATGTGTTTCCGTGGGGTCAGTAAGGTATTTATGGTCGAGGCTTCAAGACTGCCATGGTGGGATCAAGGCTTTCTGGCAAGTTTAGGTAATGAGAAGAAGAAGTACGGCCTTCAACTTCCACGGCAAGGCACCTACATTGAGCACTAGAGGTACGGCGTGTGAGGTGGTCGTTTAGGTGGGTCCATCCGAGAAAATGTTTTGCGGGAAGGAGGCACCTCGATAGCTCCGTGTCAGCGCCTTCCCACCCTCGCACCTGAGGATCCATGGATACGTACCAGCAGACTCTCATCCGATGGATTGAGACCTTCATATACATCCTCAACTCTGTTTCTGTCACCAGCGCAGCAGGCGACCCCTAGGCCGGGGTTCAGGTCAAACTGTGGCGTGGTGGTGGAACGGTTCATGGTCAACAATCAATTCGCCAACCAGCCTACTCGACGACAGGCTTAGCGCATACGAGAGCACCCGAGTTCGAATCCCAGCATGAGCACTAGAGATGTAGCCCCCAGTTCAGCACCGGGGGGGTGAACTCTTTTGTTGTCCAGACCTTTGGCCTTTGATTATTTGTATATATTTTGCTTTATAATTGATTAAGGCACCGACCTTAGAGTAGTGGATAATAGCCGGCTGCGGATAGTTCTGGCCAGCATTTTACCTTACGTTCAATCGTATAAGCTATGCTCACTGAAATGAGACAGCTTCGTGGACAAGTTGTAGGTAGGTAGGGCATGCTTATACTCTCCTCCTTTTGCTTCCTTCCCTTTCCCGACAGCTACTTCCCTAGACAGCTCCTTCCCACCTTTTCATTGAAATCCTGCGTCACGTGCAGCAGTCCAGCGTACCTCTGACCTTTTCTTGGGAGCCGGCAAAGTGATGCCCCACATCTCTTCCACCGAAGATGGAATGATCACAACCTTCGCCTCATCCATATCCCACCAATGCACTCATCGCGCACACTTTCCACTACAACATACCAGCATTTCCTCACTTTCATCCCAATTACGATTACAGCTCCTCTGCATTTCAACTTGAGCAAGCAACGCATTTCCTTCGCATCAACTGCGCAAAATGGCATCCAAGAACAAGACCATGTCCGACACACACGATGATCTCGCCCCTCAGCCTTGCACGAAAAAGGCCCGAGTCCACAGCCCCGAGAAGACCTCAAACGGCCATACTGGAAATTCAAATGACCCAGAGTCTCTAGCCAAGACCACTCAGAATACTTTGCCCCGTCAGACCAGGGACCACCCCAAGCAGGGCTGCAAGAGAGATGACTCCAAGATCCCAGAGAACCAAGTATGATGATATTCCCATTCCTTTCTCACTAAAGTGATCAGAGATTCAAAGAATTACACTGTGGCTTGAGCTGACCGGCTGGAAACTCACTAGGACCAGCTCGAATTCACCACCTGGGGTTCATCCACACCCAACAAGGAGATTTTGCCAAGCATCGTCGACGATATTGCCTACGACGCAGATGATGAGAGTAACATCAAGTTCATGGATGCCGAGACTTACTACCAGACCGAGAGGGCTCAGCGCATGATGATGTACCGCTGCAACCAGGTCGAGATCGATGCTAGCCACGAGTCTCCTTCGACAGATACCTCTGGCTCGTCTATGGAGTGGGAGCCTCTCTGCAGCCATCTGGAGACCATTCCAGAAGAAGACTTGGAGCTTTCTGAATCTTCTGTGGCCGACGACTGGGTCTGGCCCGAACGCGTGGACATATCCGAGGGTCTTGATTTTCACTTCAACTAACTGGGCCTTCCATTCGCCAACCGTGAGCCCTATTAACGTTACTGTGCGCTAAGTCCAGATGCACTCAACGGGCAATGCTGCAGGATGGTGCCTTCACTTTGGGAATGCAAGATAAGGGTTCACATACGGCAGGCCTTTGGGATGGGGAAACGAGATACTCTGGTTTCCGGCCATTGTGCTAGAAGAGTCATTGTTCTGATTGGAGATATTCACGAGCACTTGCGTATGCCTTCTTGGCACTGAGACTGTGTACAAATGCAGCGTTGCATTCATTGTCTTCTCAAAGGAGAGGTAAAAAGCTTGTATCTACTAGAGAACGGGCCGCTTTGGCCCTTGTTCTTGCCAATAGAACATGAAAAGTTACTTTGCTGGCCAAATCATCGAGGTAATTCAGGCACTGGGGTCAATAGGTGAGTGCTGAACCATGGAAGGCAAACTACCAACTGAAACTAGACAATCCCTCCAAGCTCTCTCATGTCCCCTGATCCAACCACACCCCAACACCACTGACTTGCCTTCTCTGCCTTTTCCGCACCAACTTGAAGGGTTGCCTGCGTGATGAACTTTTCCGTCAGCTGGTCATCAGACATGGGCACCTCAACGCTTCCAAGGGCATGGTCGACGTGCCTCTCAATCGGTTCCTGGACACCGCGCAGCTTGACCACCAAATGACACTCATCGGCCTTCATAGACTCGTCAACTGTAGCTTTGAAACGGTCTCTCAAGCTAACAACAGGCGCGCTGGTGACAAGCCCGTCCTCGTACTCCACTACAGTCGCCCTCCCATACAACAAGCCCACCGCGCCGCCGTGGTAAACGCTGAACTTGGCTTCAAGACCATCCTTTGGTGTTTTCTTACCAGTGAGCTCGAGCACAAGATGATGAACCGTCACGTCGACACTCACGACCTCCTCCGTGGAGATGCCTCGTCTCTTCAGTTCGTGATGCAGCCATACAGCGCCCGTAATAACCGGATGGATAACGATACCACACGGAAAAGGCTTGAACGAATTCTTCTCAATCTCCCACTTCCCCGGTCCTCCCTGTCCAAGACTCTGAACAAGCTCATTCAAGTTTTCCTTCGTACTGACGACCTTGGCCCAGCCCCGCCCAGCTTCCAGCGCCTTGGGCGAACTCGTGAATCCTTCTGCAGCTAAGACGGCAGCAAGAAGCCCATTCTGAGCGGCGCGTCCGACGTGAAAGGATTTCGTGTCAGAGCCAAACATCTCGCGTAGGCCAGTGACTTGCGTTGCGGCGATGCCGATGGCGTGGGCTGTCTTGTCTGCCGGGAGGGCGAGGAGTTTTGCGATGGCGGCGGCGGCGCCGATGGAGCCTGTTGTGCTTGTGATGTGCCTTGAAAGAAGTGTCAGCCTCCGCATTTATGTGAACTGGGAAGAGTGAGAGGAGGGTACCATCCGATATCATAGTGCTCTGGGTATACGGCCAAGGCTACCTTGCACTCAACCTCGATGCCGGCGACCAACGCCGTGATGAATTCCTCCCTCGTGACCGGGCGCTGCAGCGTCTCTGCGTAACTCAGCAGCGCGGCCGCGACGCATCCAGTCGGATGAACAATCGTCTCGAGATGCGTGTCATCGTAATCGTGGACATGCGACGCGATGCCGTTGACGAGAGCGGCGTGTTGCGCATCGATGCGACGATCGAATCCAAGTACTGAAGAAGTTTCCTTTCCAAAAAAGGGCGAGAGGGCTTTGGTTGCCGTCAGGGTTGTCGGATGGGAGCTTCCGCCGATGGCGCAGCCGACCCAGTTGTAGAAGGAGCGTACGGCTGCTTCTTTAACGCCCTGAGGGAGGTCGTTGTAGGTGAGTGAGGCTATCCACGTTGCGGTGCTGAGGGTTGCCATGATGACGTCATTTGGCTTGGGAAGAGTGTATGTTGCAGCTTGATGTGCTCTGGTTGATGTTTGATGTTTTTTATGATTTTATACATGGTAATTGAAGGGTCGTTCGTCGGAGCGAGGTCGGCGATGCTGGAGAGCCGGTAATCATGGCGCCGATGTGTATGCCGCGTTATTGCCGGCTACGACACCGCAACATTACATGGTCGCAAGATGGAGAATTGCGACGTGAGCTGAAGTATTGACACACACGAACCGCAAAAGTAGTCGATGTTTTTGCAATACATTGGTACTGTTGCGGATAGGACTCTACCTACCTCATCATCGATTGGAACCCATCGTTATACTGGTTGCTCAGTTGTGCTACAGGATAGTATCTTGGCGGTGTCGCCATAAGCGATGGAGTCGTGCAACCCTCGCTTGTTGGCGGGTATCGCTCCAATGAGGATGAAGCTGCCGCCTCACAGCCATCTCGAATACGATTCGAAGACCTCATGGTCGGAACTTGGTCCTTTGTTAAAGAAAAGCGTGACATGCTTCCCCCTTGATCATGGAAAGTCTGGTGGGCACTCAAAGCTGGACTTTCTGTTTGTCGGTACACTGTGTTTGTTCTTTTGGGCTTGATTTACTTCACCGCCCACCACACTGTGATCAGTTTCGCTTTATTATTAGCCAAAGAAATTGGAAAGTTGAATAGTCATCTCACAGGTGTGAAAAACGAGCTGACGGCAGAACTGATCAAATGCTCTGCCTCGCGAGTCCAGCGCTTGGCCGGGCGGTAAGATCGTGAAAGGACTCATCTTTGAAAGAAGACTGTTTGTACGTAGCCGAGAGTCCAAAGGTCGAGTATTGCAGTAGAATCCCAAGCATAGAGTAGTGCAGGTGTTTATGGCAATGTATATAAGAACTCGCTGTGAGCGATGGCTTCGTATCAGTCCAGTATCGGGTAGGAGTGTCGCGTAGGCATACTGAGGCAGGAAACCAAACATCCGGAACGTCGACTTCACTATCGAGAAGCGGTAATTTGACCATAAATATGAGTGGCAATCACGGTGCGTCGGGATCTACAGGGACCTCCGACCCCACAAGGGTTCGTGGACCGTTCGATGTTGAGACTCCTCAATTATCTCCAGAGCAGAGGGCTCGGCTTCGGAGGGAGTCTGACGCTTTGAGGAACACGGTCACCTTGGTTGTGAGTTGTTTTATCCTCCCATTCCCGTCGCAGCGATCCCATCCCAGACATAAAGTATATTGGAGGGCATTCTGTCTCCAGTATGTGTTCGGGAGTGTGTTGCCCTGAATGATGGCTACTGACTGTCTAGCAGGCCGGCGAGAGTGCGATGCAGGCAAGGTTGATGAGCCAGATCTCTCCGCATGCGATAAGAGATGAGAGCGGGTCGGAAGGAGAGTCGACGGCCAAAGCCATGGTGAAGACACGTGTCGAGCAAGAGGTAACGGAAGCACAGCAGCAGCAGCAGCAGAGTCAAGAGCCTCAACAAGATCAAACATCTGAAGAGGTTTCAGTTACATCCGACTCGGAGGATTACGAGTCCTTCAGCAATGAGGAGAAGAGCAAAGGATCCGGGTCTGGGTCTGGATCCGGTGGCGAAGAGACTGGTGGCCAGGAGAGCAGCAAAAAGAGAGCAGCCGGGTCCGATGTCGATGATTCGGATGACCATAAGCGGCAAAGAGCTTCGTCACAATGATCATATGCCGTGAGGCAGGGTGCAAGACCGTGGCAGTCAACGCGCAAGTGGAATCGAGAAGGTCTCCTACCTTAGATAGTCAGCGAAAGACTCTGGGACTTCGTGTTAGATATCAACTGTGCATAGTCGGGTCATAGCGACCGGCCAAATATCAACCACTATTTTGCTATTAAAGATTTACATATCTGAATAGGTCTACAGAAGCGTTCCAATTACTTAAATATTATCGGTAGTTATCCGAAACTACCTTACTTGACGCTAGTCTGACCGACATGTACCTAATAAGCTGCTCTTCTCTGGGGTAACAGCTCACGGGTCTTCTCAAGAGTAGTCCTCTGGTCGTCGGCCGTTGACAAACTTCCAAAGCCGGCTGATCTCATACACCTTGGGTCCTTCAACCACACCGTTGAGGTAATGGTGAGCAGTACCATCAACCCCGTTCGTGAGATTGCGCTGCTCATCAATCTTCCAAGGATCATTGTGAACCTTGGTGCGGGACGCCATGAAGGTGCCCGGGAGGGGCGAACCATCTCCATTTGTTTGGACTTTGCTCAAATTATTGTCAAGAGGAAACATGTTGTCAAGATAGTGCTGGTTGAACTGATGACCAGAACCAGGTCGCTCAATAAGCGCACCCTCAAACTCGTTCCAGTCAGGACTGAGGTGACTCGCCTGCTTCGGCTCAGTCTTCCCCACGGCCTTGATGACCTCTGTCTTCTTGTTGACGGAAATGAGACCGGCGATTTCTCCAAGCCCGAGAAAGCGTCCATCTCTCTTGGCAGTCTGCTTCTTGAAGTGGAGGACACCCCACCGAGAGACAAAGTCTTTCGAGTTGGCGTAGTGCTCAATGTGGCGGATGGCACGACCCTTGGGTCTGGGAATGCCGAGGTCCCTCTTGGTGCGGGGGTTGTTGAAGTGGTTCGCGGCGTTGCCGAAGGTGTAGATCTCAAGCTTTTGCAGGACTTCACGGGGGTGTTGGTTGATGAGCCAGTCCAGGATGATGCTTCCTTCCAGTCCACCTTGAGAGTGGAGAATGAGGATGACTTTCTTCTTGTCTTGGTTGAGCAGGGCGGTGGAAATGTGCGAGAAACAGACTCGGGTATCGGTGGTACCGAAATAGAGGCAGCGCTCTAGGAGGCATTGGATCACATCAAAGATGATGCCAGCACTGGTAAACAATGTCAATGTGTGTCCCGATAGCATAGAATCTTCTGACTTACGTCTTGTTGTGAACACCTTTCACTCTTCGATGGAAAGTAACGGAAATTCGGTCAATGTTGCTCTGGAGCCAGTTCTTGCTGTAGAGGTATGCTTAGTTCATGCAATGAGTGTTTTGAGGCCAAAAGTCCTTACCCGACAGCAACACCGTTGAGGAAAATCCACTCTTCCTCGGGGTGATTCAGTTCCCACTCTCGCGCTGCGAGAGTGTCGGCCGACCAGATAAATCCTTCAGGCATCCAGCCATTGAGCCCGATGCACGCCAAATAGTTGATGCCGATGAAAAGACCCACGTAGGCAACAAAGATGTTAAAGGAGAAGAAGGAGAGGAAAGGAAGGGAGATCAAGAAGGCTGATTGAGTGACGATGAGAATGGAGTGGAAAATGATGTCACGAATGTTGTTCCAAGAGGGGTACAGCTCGTCCATGGGTCCAGAGTGGAAGTAGCGTTGAGCCCATGCTTCGAAGCGTCGGTGGAGCTGGCTCACGAGAAATCGAGGCTGCTCTTTGAATCGGTTGTCGACTCCGAGGTTGAAGGAGCGAGCCGGGGGCTGTGACCAGAGTGGCAGGACAATGCATGGTAGGAAAGCAATGTTCTTGCAGAACAGGAGCAAGTCGCTTGCGAGAAGGGTCCAGGGAGCACCTGTGTAGTAGTAAGGCTGCTTAAGGAAGGGGTCGGTGCCGTTCCATGTTACATCTGCTCCGCGGCTCTCTTTACGGAGGCGAATGTCCGAGCCGGTCCGGACCTCTAGCTTCTTCTCGTTGACATCTTTCGGAAGGGAGTAGGTGACTTCGACTGCCGCCATCTTTAGAGGCACGTGCGGCTAATAGTCTCGATGGAATAAGTTGTCAATAGAAATGACATCGAGTAGCCGCAATGCTGCCGGATAGCTGGATAAAATACTACTTTTAATTCCCTTGAAATGTGATCTGAAGTCTGGAGAGGCTTCAACGTTTAGGACTGTTGAGGCTTTCCTGATGCCCTAAAATGCCAAAGGTGATGGCCACCCGGGAGGAACTTCAGGCAATCCTTGGTGTCTTACTATCACATGCTGATAGTAACAAGTGTTTTCACATGCCGCGCCGTAACTTGAATGCTTTCTATAGCGATCGAATGATTGAGGCTTGAAAGTGAAGTTTCCGTGGTCCTAGTGGTTTTGCTCTTATGATTGCAGGGCAGGATCAGAGTTTCCACTACATTTCTCCCCGCGACGATTCCCAACAACTGGAGCAGTGTTAGACTGAAGACGGCACAGATGGCTTTCTGACCCTGAACTCGCTACAGATCCGAGCGCCTCAGGGCTGAGTGTGAGATTTGGTATGTCAGACATCCCTTGATATGGCCCCTCAAGACAATTGCAAAGCTAGCACTGACAAGCTGAAAGCTAGTCGGACGATCACCAATGTCTTGTCTGAGACATTATCGGAGCTGTGAAGCTCGGAGTTATCTCCACCTGCATGCTGTCCTGTTTACGCACGCTTTACGCATGCTTTCTGAAGAATGGCTACCCCAAATCCGCTTTCGACCCGGTTGCGGGCCGCTAGACTTCCCGTCTGTTTGCATGCGTTCTCACATTCTGGATTGTCTACTAAGATGATAAGCATCCCGAGCCAATTGGGTGAAGGCAAGAGCATGCAATGGTCCGCCGCTTTATCGCGACCTTCTACCCCCAGATAGAAAAGAAGCAGCTGGTTCGTCTCAGTTACTCGTTGAGCCACTCCGGCATCTAGTGAGACTCCTGGCGGGAAACCGACCAATCATCAGACCTTTTGGGCTACAGTCACATCACACTGGGGACTAGCTTGACTAGCTTGACTAGCATGAATCGAAAAGCAGAGCCCTCGTTGAAATGCGATCTTCTGCCGGTATGCCCTATCACGGCTGCGCCCTCCCGGTGGAGATTGCCCTGCATGTGGTGGTATTGAACTAGTGTGCAAATAGTCTCAGCGCCCGTTAGGAAATGCAAGTTCGCAGAACTCTCCCAAAAAGCCAGCGGCAAACACCTAATCATTCCGAATTCAACGTCGTCTTTCAGATTTAGTGAACATAAGTGCCCAACCTCCAATCGCCACGACTCAATTTCAAGAGCTACCAGTCCTCAACCTTTGAGACTTTCACCGATAGAATTGGGGTTCTCGACTGGTTTACATGCTCGATGAAGTTGTCGCTCGGCTTACTTTTGCCTTCAGCAAGCACATGCCACCTCTGATGAGTGTCTTGCAAAAACATATTCAAGCAAGCCACATTGAGAGACGTTGTGTAATTGTTTACACCCTCAACGACAATTCCTACTCCAACCACATGGAGGCATAAGGCTAGTTACCCCATCAACAACCACAACGAAGTGTCTCTCGGATGATTGCGAACATTCTCCCATTAAGCCGAGTGAAACTATCCGCATCCGGTCATATCATGGGAAAATGAAGCAGTCAACATTTTGAATGTCAGGAAAGCATGTGATAGTCGCGAGGACCCTGTCTACCGTTGAGAGGAAGTTTTGCACACAGGCTGTCGTCGATAGGAATGCGTTGACTGTCCTTGCCCGTCTGGGGAAGCCGCTGCGGGCCGTAGATACTTGCCGGCGCTTGACCTTATAAGACGAAGCCATCATCCACCAGACGGCCAGGAAGATCAAGTGTATACGTAAGGTATCCGACTCTTCCTTCTGTCATTTAGAAGAGCGGCACTTGGAAGTCCTTAGCGCTCTTTGACGACAAGAAGCTACTACTAAGAACAAAATCGTGATGGAGGGCACAGCGGAGCTCAACGGTTACGACCATCAACAGACTAACGGTCTCAACGGCGAGTCCAACGGTCGAATCGAGCCTGACTACACAGAGTCCTTCGACACCCCCTATCCGGCCACGGAGCCCCGCGAGGGATACCGTCAGGCCGGCGACACATTCGACCCTGTGACTGGCGCATACCCGCGTATCTCCCGCCCCGTTGAGCTGATCCGCCCGTCTTATGACGTTGTTGTCATCGGCTCCGGATATGGTGGCGCCGTCGCCGCCAGCCGCATGGCGCGTGGCAACAAGAAGGTTTGCTTGCTCGAGCGCGGTAAGGAGAAGTGGCCCGGAGAGTTCCCTTCCGAGATCATCCCAGCCGTGAAGGAGCTTCACACTACGAACGCGGCGACGGATGGTCTTCTCGGTGCTCTTGGAAAGTTGGGCACCGGCGGTGATCCGACTGGCCTTTACCATCTCATTGTTGGAGATGGCCAAAACGCCTTCGTGGGCAATGGCTTGGGCGGCACAAGTTTGCTCAACGCCAACGTCTTCCTCGAAGCAGACGAAGGGGTTCTCAACCTGCCTATTTGGCCCAAGGAGATAGATGCAGGAGAATTGAAGAAATGTGACTTTTAGCCTCCCTGTCATACAGAAACTTCGTAAAGACGCTAACTTTCTGCAACACAGATTACAAGCGCGCCGCCGGTGTCTTGGAGCCTAAGAAGTACCCAAAGGATTTCCCCAAGCTACACAAGCTGGAGACACTCGAGAAGCAGGCCAAGCTCATGGGTTGGAGCGAGAAGTTCGACCGTGTACCCCAGACCACCCGCTTCGAGGATGGAGAGAACAGCACCGGTGTCTACATGCGAGCCTCTACGCTCAGTGGCCAAGATACTACCGGTCTCAACGACGGCAGCAAGTCTACAACGCTGGTAAACTATCTCAGTGACGCCTGGAACTGGGGTACCGAAATGTTCTGCCAGTGCGAGGTCCGTTATGTCACCAAGGCGAAGGACCGTGAGGGCTACATCGTGCACTTTGCATGGCACGGTGGGAAGCGCGCCAATTTCAAGGACCTCTTTTACGAGGACCTGATGTGGGTTCATGCCAAGGAGCTGGTTTTCTTCGGCGCTGGTAGTATCGGAACTACCGAGATCCTGCTCCGCAGCAAGCAGTTTGGCTTGGACATGAGCCCGGATGTTGGACACGGCATGAGTGGCAATGGTGATATCCTTGCATTCGGGTAGGTGGAAGATGCCTTCTTCGAGAGTGCAGTCTACTAACTCCATCGTAAAGCTACAACACTAGCGAGTATGTCAACGGCATGGGACGCGAAGACCCTCCCCCCAACCGTCCCGTCGGACCGTGTATCACTGGTATTATCGACTGCCGGAAGGGCCTGGACAACCCACTTGATGGCTTCGTCGTTGAGGAGGGTGCTATTCCTGCCGCCCTCGCGCCCTTCTACCAGGCAATGCTCACATATTTGCCCGGCAGAGTGTTCCCTGATAACATCTCCATTAAGGGTGCAGTCGGTCATGTAACTGCAGCCGTTGGCAGCCGCTTCTTCGGTCCCTATTTCCCCGATGGAAGCACCGAGAAGACGCAGTGCTATCTCATCATGTCCCACGACAGTAAGTCTTTCTGACCGCATTTCGCAGTAACCGGTCTAATTAGGTCATTTCAGGTAGTCAAGCAACCATGCAGCTTGACAAGGACAGACCCCTCATCAACTTCTCTGGTGTTGGCAAGTCGCACAGAGCCAAGAAGCTGGCGGGCTACTTGGCCAAGCTGACCAACCTGATCGGCGGAATCTACGTCGACAGTCCATTCTATGCCGCATTTGGCGAGAAGGAGATCACTGTCCATGCCATGTAAGATGAAATGTTTTTTACGAAGTTGAAATGCTGGCTAATATCTGGCTAGTGGTGGTGCTCGTATCAGCAGCGACGGAACTGGCGCCAGCGGTGGCGTGAACCACAAAGGCCAGCTGTTCAAGGGCACTGAAGGTGAGGTCCATGAGGGCTTGGTCGTTTGCGATGGAACCATTGTTCCTGCGGCTCTTGGTGTCAATCCTTTCGCGACAATTACAGCCCTCGCAGAGAGATCTGTTGAGAAGATCGCGGATGACTTCCATATTAAAGTCGATCTTAAGACAAAGAACGGTAAGTATCTTTGGTTCCTCAATCCAAGGTTCAATCTGTCTGACTTGTGCTGAATAACCCCAGGCTCTCTAAACCTATTTGGGAAGCCGGCACATGACCCCTTCGAGGGCGAACACCCGCCTGTGGCCAGAGTGCAAGAAATCATCAACACAGCCAGAGATGACATGACTCCTGGTATCGCCTTCACCGAGACCATGGACGGATGGATCCACTTTGGAGAGGATTCCAAGACATTAGATTTCCAAAGGGCTACCTTGACTGCTAAAAGCCGGGGCGAATATGCCCGTTTCTTCCTCAGCGCCAGGTCATGGAACACTCACAGCCGTAAGTCTTTATCTATACTTGCGAGGACTTTCCAGCGCTTACAGAAGTACATTTAGTCGTCCACGACAAGGAACACGAGGCCAATCTAACCGGTACCTTTACGTGCCCCGCTCTTGGTGGTACGTCTATGGTTCAGGGTGGCAAGTTCAACTTGTTTAACGACGACCCGAGATCGCCTGATACCACCAACCTGACTTACAACTTCCTGATCTCACAAAAGGATGGCAAGAAGTTGCATTTCAACGGCTACAAGGTTGTTAACTCGGACGTCGTTTTCAACCCCCTCAACCTCTGGAAGGCCACGACCACTCTCTATTGCACTATTACTGAGGTTGACGAGCATGACCAACCCATTCACGAAGAGGTTCGCGGTAAGGGCGTTATCCATATCCGCCCCACGGCCTTCCTTCAAGAATGCACAACCATGGAAGCAACCGGATCTAGCCTCTACGCCAAGGTTTCTTCAACCGCTAACTTCCTCGGATACTTCACTGCCAAGGCAGCAGGAGCCTTCCTCACACCTTTCATCCCTCAAATCTGGCCCAGCCTACCTTTCAACAGCTACCAGAACCCCACACCCTGGTCGGAAGAGATCACAGTTGAGGCCAACGACCGCGTTAAGACGAAGCTCTACATGTGGGAGCCGCAGACTATTGGTGGCGACGCAAGCAGGGCGCCGATTCTTTTGTTCATCCCTGGTGCTGCTGTCGACCACCAGATCTTTGCTTTGCCCACCATTGAGAAGAATGCGGTGAACTACTTCCGGGCTAAGGGGTACCGCGTGTACTCCATGGTACACCGCGTCGGCAAGACTATTGTTGCTCAACAGAACTGGACCACGTACGACGCGCGCCGTGATATCCAGGCGGCTCTCAGGAAGATTCGCAAGAGGCATGCGATCATTGATAGGCTGGACGGTAGCGGCCCCTCGTCACCGACATATGTCGTAGCACACTGCGCTGGGTCTATTGCTCTCGCTTCAGGCCTGCTTGACGGAAGCATCCCTCGGCAATGGCTTAGCGGTGTCACCGCGTCCCAGGTGTTCATGAACCCCAAGTTCCCCAAGGTCAACAACCTAAAGGCTAGCCTCCCCATCTCCATGGCCAACATCTACAACCTCATCCAGGGCAAGTGGTTTGACTGCACCAGCACACCTCGCGATGGATACATCCAGCAGGCTATCAACCAGTTGCTTCGCTTCTACCCCGTCGGTCACCGCAATGAGATCTGTAACTCCGTTGTCTGCCATCGCAGCTCTCTTGCTTTCGGCCGGTTAGTATATCCCAGCCCTTTTCAACCTCCTCTGTGATTAACATTTTCCAGGCTCTGGTCACACAAGGGACTCAACGAGGCCACTCACTCACAATTAGAGAACTTTGTTGGTGGTGCCTCAATGGCGAACTTGAACCACTTGATGTACCAAGGCACCCACGAAGTAGTCACGGACTCGCAGAACGAGAGCCTCGTCACACCGCAAAACATCGCCCGCCTGAAGGGTCTGCCCATTTTCCTCTTCTCTGGATCCGAGGACGAGGTGTACGCGCCCGAGAACACCGACACATCCTTCACTCTCCTCACAGAGGCTAACGGCGGCGTCTGCTATGAGAGGCAGGTGTTCCAGAACCGCGGCCACTTGGACGCCTGGATGAGCCCTACCGCCCATAAGGATATCTTCCCGCGGGTGGAGCAGCACATCCAGAATGTCCTGAACGACAAGTATTCGCGACTTGAAAAATTTGCATCAGGCAACCCATTGGGATTGAAGAAGTGATGCACAATAAGTTGATACATGTACCTTTCGAAGCCATCAAGCTGGCATTGAGGGGCATATTTGTAGTTTTGTTTCTTGGAGGGGCTCGCAAGTTCGCCAAACGTTTCGAAACTTATCTCCCAAATCCGGGCAATTTTCTTTGTCAGCCCAGATAGCCACATGTACCATAGTTCAGGTACAAGATGTAATCCACGCTAATACCACAGTGCCTTGTGCACCATAACCAGGACTTAAGGTACTCCGGCCCCGTCACTGTGTTGCTGCTCCGCGGAGCAGTTGAACACGACCTTTCAGATGTGTGACTATCACCTGTCAAATCAAGCATCCTCGGGTTTCCGAGCCGTAGTTTGGAAATTCCGGAACCGGAATTGAAGAACAAAGTAAGTCTTTGAGATGCCGGGGCAAGTCATCTCCAGACTGCAGCAGATTGCGAAAGTCAAATATACACCAGATAAGATTGGTCATCCCACACAGCCGTTTGCTCGTTCGTAGTCCCGATGAACGTTCCATGTGAGAATGAGCGTTATGTCTTACCCTTTTCGGTGTCACCTTGGCACCGAAACTTCTCAGCTCTCATCGTATTGTCAAACATGAACTGCTGTTTCTTGTTTGTGGGGAAATGCAGCCAAGAAGTCAATGGTGCAGGCTTTGCTTGACTTCTGCGTGTCGGCACCGAATCGTGAGTTGAGATTAGGCCGGTAAACAGAAGCTTCAGAGATATGTATACGTATTCAATGGTTATTTTGTTACAATATCTTCGGAATCCGGTAATAATACTCGCCTAGAACCCGGCCGGAGGTGATCCGGGAAGCATTAGCCTAGAGACAGCGGAGTAGCGGAGTGGGGCCGTGCATGGTCGGAGGCGGGCAGAAATCAGGCCGATGCATGGAGACCCGTAAACCCCGAGAGCCCGATGGCCTTGAGGATGAAAGCGGTTTCATAGGTGGGATGAATGACGCATTGGATGTAGCTGAGAGCTGTAGTGGTTGTGTGGCTTTCTGGTAGCTTTGTCCATAGCTCAAGCTCGTACACACCGACTTAGCTCGATTTTAGTTTTGCATAACTCTGCATAGCTTGCGAGCTCCCACACCCAAATCACCTCATTCATTATGCGACAAGTCGATGATGAGGTGAAGTTCTAGAAGAGAACTGATGGTGCTTGAGGTCGTGGCGACAGCTTGAGCTGCTATTTGTTCCCGCATGGAACGAGTTCCCACCGTCTGGTCGTTCCTTCGGCTCGTTCGGGGATTCGAGTTCCATTGGGTGGGATGGGCGGGGGAGAGTTTCACTTCGCTGCTGTTGTCCGATCCCGTTGACGTCAGCTTACCATTGGACCTCTAGCTGTTGGCGTCGTCCCTAGTGTCTCTGCCTACAGCCATTCCGCGTACGCAAAGTGCGTGGTGTTCGCCTTCCGGTGCCGAAGAGTCGAACAAAAGGTTCCTTATCTGCATTTCCCCCGGCATAGTCGCTTTCTGACATTTCCTTCTCCCTTATCAACCTTTTTCCAGAACTAAGGTAGCATTCTTATCTGGAAAATCAATCCAACATGAAAGCTGTTGCAGCCCTCTCATGCGTGGCCGTTGCCAACGCATTTATCCTTCCCGATCCTAAGATCTTCGAGCAAGCGGCCATCAAGAACGATGACCACGCTAATCGAGGTTCCTGGTGGGACCGCGTCCCCTCCAAGGACTCCATCGTGAGCACTGTGGAAGATGGCATCGATTCCTTGTCCGCACACATTGAGGGTGCACTACACTCATTCGAAGAGACAGTCGAGAACAAATTCGACCACCTTTTCGAGGAGGAGATTTTTAATGAACCCAAGGTTTCCGATAAAACTATATACGAGCTCATTTCGAAGAGCGAGCACACGACCGAGTTTGCCAAGCTCGTCAACGAATATGAGGACATTGTCAATGTTTTGAAGAGCACAGAGGCGAATCACACACTTTTCGTGCCGACGAACCGCGCCTTCGAGCATCTGCCCAAGCACAAGAAGCCGAGCAAGGAGGTTATTGAAGCCATCTTGAAGTACCACGTTGGTATTGGTGACTACGATGCGAAGAGGGTCCTTCGTACCCACACTCTCCCCACGCTGCTCAATGAGAAGTTCCTCGGCGACAAGCCCCAGCGTCTTCGCACCAGCGTCGGCCTCGGTGGCGTGCGCATCAACTTTTACGCCAAGGTCGTTGCCGTCAACATTGTGAGCACTCAAAGTCCCCATGGTTCATCAATCCTACAAATCTGACTTGTCATCTATAGCGCGCCAAGAATGGAATTATTCACGCTGTCAATAGCCTGATCATCCCGCCACCCATGGTCGGCCGAGAGCTCACCCTTCTCCCCAGTCAATTCTCCACGCTGTTGCTCGCATACGAGAAGACCGACTTCGTCAAGTATATTCACGGCATCAAGTCCACCGGCACCACCGTTTTCGCCCCTTCCAACAACGCTTTCGCTCGCCTTGGACCCAAGGCGAATGCGTTCCTGTTCAACACCGACCTCGGTCTCAAGTACCTTAGAGCATTGCTCAAGTACCAGATCGTCGGCAATGCGACTCTATATAGCGACGCGCTGTACCGCCCCGATGACAAGAAGGATGTCAACACCATGGAGCACTACCACGTTGATCTTCCCACTTTGCTGGGCAAGAACATCGCCGTCGATGTCGCCACCTGGGGCGGCTGGACCAAGGTCAAGCTTAACGGCTACATCCCTATTGTCGTCGCCGATGGAATTGCCAAGAACGGTGTCATTCACGTCCCCGGCCGCGTCCCCATTCCTCCCCACAAGCACAAGGTCGATTACGTCGACGGCGAGATTGAAGTCGAGGACTTGAAGGAGAGACTCTCCGAGTACGTCGATGAGAAGGAGAATGATACTAATTGGTTTGGCGAGGAATTGTAAAGACTTGTGTACATGTACCATTCAGATCAGCAAATATCCGCCTGCCTTCAGTAATTTCAATAACAAAAGCCACATTGTAGGATGTTAGCAATACAAATCTGCCTTGGCGAACTCCATCTAGTATGCTCCGACCGACTGTCGCCATGCCTCTTCGACCTTCATGCTAGGGGTACCATGGAGATATTGTGGTACTATGTCGCCGTAATTAGTCCAAGATACATGACTTAGGAACAACATGATCTACCTCTGGGAGGTACTTCTCAGTGAAATAGCTTTGGTCTCGGCCACGGGCCGGTCTCAAAGAGTATGTCAGCCATTCGGTAGAGATGTCTCGCCCTCCGAAGCATCGTCTTTACAGCCTCAACTACCGGAAATGCGAGGCTAGATTAGGAGTCCTAACTCGTTGTAGCACAATCCCGACTTCTGCGGCATTCAGCCCTACGTACGTGGAGCCCCGGCAACACAACCTAGTGTCCCTAGCCACCCTCACTGCTTTGGCGTGTCTGAGCGAATCTGGATAGTCCCATGCTGCCGACCCACCGAGTCAATGCTGCGCCCAACGTGCTTCGAAATCGTCTCTCGACAAGTTGTTTTCTACGGCTGTCAGACCTGCAAGTTAGACCATGGAAATCGTCGATGGAGCCTACATCAAGTACCTACTTCATCGAATGTTACCAAACGCATTAAAGCATTCTCGGCATTAGTACATGAGAAATGGCAAAATACCACAGAAAGAAAAGCCATGTTTTAGGTCCTTCGTGCTCCCTGACCTTGGAGCGAATCAGCCTTCTCAACCAAAAATGCCATGGCTCAGCCCGCATATACTTACCGGTACTCACCAGTCCGGAATGTGACTAGCACCGGACTTCAGCTCAGGGTAGCGGGCGCCTTCCAGGACAACCACACATGATCATTGGCTTCAACCTTCGCCCATGAAATGCTGTTGATGCAGACTGCAAGCGGTCAAGCGGCCTCACTGGCACTCGATGAGGCTGGTACAGTGGTGCACCAGAAAGACGATGGACCACTCGCGGAGCTGAGCTACTACAGCTGCCTAGTTGTCTCAAAGCCACCACAACAAGATGGTGGCTTTGCTTTGGTGTGCGCGACCCAAGGACTCAGGGCTTTCTTCATGTTGTACATTGGCGAATTCCTGGCTCGGCGAACTCTGTTTTCATGACCAGGCCTATTCTGAATTATTCGAAAGCTGCATGTGGACAATCGTTGACGTCTCCTTCTGGTCTGAATAAGAATATCAACCAGCGAGAAACAAGACCTCAACTCAACAGGTGTTCAACGATTAATCATGCCGTGATACAGGCTAGTAGCAAACATGCATCAACACCCACCAGCGATACAGCCCACCTTTGACTCGCAAACGCAGTATAATCTGCAAGCTACTGAGGATATCGACGAGTACCACGATGAGCTAGGCAAGAAGAATCGTCCACCTCCAATACCGACGCGTCCAGACTATCGACCGAAACCACTGCAATGGCCTTTCATCGTATGCATGATTCTCGTCCTCTCCATCTTGGTGGGGTTGGTGATATATGCTCAAAATACGATGCCAAATTCAGACAGCACAGCAGTTATTGAGCCGCGCCATTACCTGGATTTACGGCAGGAGTCCAGTTCTATCAGCGAGAAGTCCTCAAGTCCAAGTGGTTCAGCACAGGACCTATCGTCTTCAGACTCTGGTCCGTCTTCTGGTCTACAGCTGTCGACGATCATCCAAACTAGTAATGCCGATCTCCCGACGACTTCTGGGCCTGGGAGATCTCCTGCTTCGAAGTCAACTTCAGCGGCTCCTGTTACTGTATCGTCGTCAGAAAAAGCATCTAGTGTAGCTTTTGTAGTATCAACGCAGCAAGAACAATCTCCCACTGGTCGACAAGAGAAGGCACAAGTCACAACCACCACCTCGGCATCAGGAAGTGAGGCACAGAGCCCGACCGTCTCCAGTCCGCCCTCATCTGCGCCATCTGACGAACTTCCTACCGGTACTACTACGGCTACAGATGATCCAAATTCAGTGCCAACATCATCATCATCACCAGGCACTTTGAGATCTAATGATGTTCAGAGTAAAGAACATAATCCAACTTCAGAGCCAACATCGTCACCATCACCAGGCACTACGAGATTTAATGATGTTCAGAGTAAAGAAGTTGACTCTATTCTGTCTTCACCGTTAACAACCAGAAGACCGGAAAGTTCAGACAAGATTAAAGACACAACGGATTCGACAGTAAGCGGCAAAGAAGCCAGCTTGATTTCCTCCTCTGGCGGTTCGAACCATCCCAAAGCTCCTGTCACTAGTGCCGCATCATCCTCCAGCTCATCATCGTTGGAGTCCATCGGAAACGACAAGGTGTTTTCCATCATCAAGTCCGAGTTCACTTCTACAGTCACAAGACCTGGATCCACTTTCCAGTACACAACATCCATCGTAGGCAGTACTCTGTGGAGCTATTCGACGACTGTTGAAACAACAATTCCCGGAAGTACTGGCGAGAATACGTATACACGAGTGATCACAACTGCGACGCAGAGGTCGATCACGAGAACCTTGGCAAGTAGCAACGTGGTTATGACCACGACAATACCTGTGCAAACCACCCAAACAGATGTTATCAGCGACGACAAAACAACCTACTACCAGACGACAACCAAGACAATTGGTCGTGTGACAACCTCAACCTCGGCTGCACCAGCCTCGACAATCGTCGAAGTCACAAATGAAGTGGGAGAGGCGACCATAACCTCAACGGCCCAGTTCACATCGCCAGCAAGGGTCAGCACCTACAGCTCTGTTGTTGTTTCTGCCGTGCCGACGACTATTGCAAGTGTAGCCACCTCGACTGCGGCGGGGGTAGTGTACGTATCCGTAGGAACAACCGAAATTACCAAAGTTGTTACCATTCCTGGAGGGTCGCGAGGCCAGCAGAGCGAGCAGCCTAACCCAGTCACACAACTCATCACCAGTGTATTTGACGGGAAGGTTGTGACAGTTGTGGAAACGGGGAAACCTCAGGTTTTGGTGACCAATGCTGGAGGTGTTTTCACTGGCGTTTTTACGCCACCTGCGGAGACGGTCGAGACGAGGATAGGGGGCGAAGAGACGCAGATGGTAGTCACAGTCACTCCGTCTCTGGATGTAGGCCTGTTTGCCGTCCAGACGACCATTTCTGGAAAGCCTACGATGGTGCTGATTCAGTCTACAAACGCCGCAGGCTTCAAGCCGGTGTCTTTGACTCTTGTGTCCCAAGTCGGAGGCAGTACTGGCGTCTTCACAACCACCGACGCCCCAGAGATCATCAGGACAACCATTGATGGTAAGGAGACTTTGACAACTAGAACACCGGCTCCGAGGGAGTTTACTTCTGTAATTGGAGGAACGCCAACCACAATCGCGATGGTGACGACGCCGACTGGGAGTACGCCTTTATCGTTTACAGTGATCACGACGATCGGAGGCTCTTTGAACACGGTCATATCAACTCCAAGCCCCACCACATTCGTCAGTTCAATATCGGGCAAGCTCAGTACGATCACATCCACTCCGAAGCCTAGTACACGAGTGTCCACTATTGGCCCCTCCACGGCGGTATTCACCTCGGTTTCCCATCCAGGGTCGACGAGCAAACCCGATACCGTCATAACCGAAGTCGAGAAGTTTGCCTTCACCGATGGCGATTACTTCCTCGGCAAGTTCCTTCCAGTGATTCTGGCCGTCATGATTGCAATTCCTCTCCGAATTATTGATCTCAACGCGAAGTTATATCAGCCTTTCCACGCACTATCTCAAGAAGGAGGTGCACTCGGGAAGAATAGCATGACCATTCAGTTTGAAGGCTGGAATGGGTTTTTGGCTCCTTTCAAAGTTCTCAGGCAAGGTCATCCGGTCCCTTTCATCACGACACTGATGGTATGGTCATCGTCTCTCCTGGCACCCTTGGCAACTGAGGCGATTGGGATGAAACTACATGGCAAATGCAAAATCACCGCCATCGACGGCTGCGGCATTCAGCTAGGCGTCTCCCCAAAATTAGCCTATATCTTGATCGCGTTGCTCGTTCTCATCGTCGCTCTCCTGCTGGTTCTCCTGTACCTCCTTCGCAGCTGGAAGACTGGACTTCACGCAAATCCTTGGAGTATCGGGGGGATATCGTCACTTTCTCTGAACGCAGAAATTCGGCCACATCACGTCAAATTCAAAGCTAACGAAAGAACAATGGCAGACAAGAACTACATGCTGGGTTTCTTTGAGAATAGACACGGTCGAGACGAATATGGCTTCATCTACTATGACGAATCGGCCGACAACTTGCAATCGGCAGGGTCAGGAGCGCTATCGACCGATGATGAGTCGCATATTATCAAACATCCACACGGCAGTGCGACTAATGGCCGGAAACAAAACCCTTTCATCGCGCTTACGAACTGGTGGCGTATTGTGTTCGTATGCTTCTTGCTTGCCTTGTTCATCATCATACTTTACTATCATGTTACGCTTGGTCTTCGTACTTCTTTCAAAGACTTCATGGACAGTCAAACATTCGGACTCCGTTTCTTCCTTGCCGCATTGGGTGTCATTATTATTTTCTGCTGGGAATCGATTTTCATGAGTGAGTAGCCCCGATCCCAGCATCAGCCAGGATCGAGGAGCCTGACTAATACAGATTGCAGGTATTGCTATTGTCAGTCCGTATTATCACTTGGGCCGGCGTTCGCAACGACCAGAATCATCCATCCTTTTGACACGCCCCACGAATGGATTTTACGGCATTTACGCCGCGATCATCAACGGCGACATAGCGCTGATGCTGGCAGCTTTCATGTCCATAACAGCCGAGTTTCTTCCGATGCTGTTGGCCAATGTACCGTACAACCTAACTCAGACGCTCAACTCCCACAACATCTGCTCGATTATTAGTCTGACGATCTTGGCGCTGATGATCGTGGCTGTGGGGGCAAGTTTATTCATCAAGTGGCCCGAGATGCCAGTTGATCCCCGGAGCATTGCTGGCGCAATGTATTACATCAACGAAAGCCAAATGTTGGATGACTTTGAAGGTCTATCGCAGCTGTCTTCGGTGGATAGGAAGAAGAAAGTTGGGGAGTTGGGGCGGAGATACTTTTACGGCGCTTTGACCGGAAAACATGGGCGGCGTATGGGCGTCGACTCGGTGGAGAGCGTCGAAGACACTGTGTATACCGGGGCGAACTGGCTTCCACCGCATGATGATAGCGGTGACCTTGATCAAGGGACATCACCATATCGGGCTCCAGCTGCGGTCAGTTTGGGAAGAGGTCCTGGCTCAAGACACAATATTCCATATCACGAAGAAGGGGATTGGGTGTGACGATACTGGCGTCAAGACGTGATGCTAGAACCTTACTTTATCATAATTAATCGATTTGCTAATTTTTAATGACCAAGCTTCGACTTGGTATAACTCCATCGCTGTCATTTGTTCTAGCAGTGGATCGCCGGACTACCGCCAGCAAGTCCGCCGAGCAGAAATGTTCCGAGCCAAACACCACTGAGCACGGAGAGAAAGTAGCCAACATTCATCGTCATCACCGCAAGCATCCTATGAAAATTGTCAGCCAGATTGACATCATGCAAGTGCGAAGGTGTGGCTCACAGGAGATATCCGATCCCTCCCACAATGACCTCGTAAGTTGCCCTTGCAGCAGCAGCCCCGGCCCGCCACCCTTTCCACCGTCCCACAATATCTTTTCGGATCACCGAGCCGGCCTGTCCTGGCTCAACACTCTCTGCATGGTGACTTGTCAAGGCTTGCTTGTCCGATTCGTAGACGGGGTAGTTTCTCCAGAATCGGTCTTCGAGTACGGGCTTCAGAGCGAGTAGGAGGCGTAAGATCGAGCCCAGCACGATAAGAAAGATGCAGGTGCCCGCATATTGACCGGGACTTGTCGGTGTCCATGCGTCCGAATAGAGCGGTGTTTGGAAGGCTTCGAAGAATGTCATAGCCATTTCAGACATTGACATCGACATGCTCGACATGTCGCCGGAGGCAGCACTAGTCGATGTTGCCATCGCCATGGCTGTGCTGGTTGCCATGTTCATATCCATTTCGGTCGACTATGGAGTGATACTCTAATCGGTGGATATTTGCTCTGGAATGATTGAGCTTTCAATCCGGCTGTAAATTGATACAGTCGATTTTTGTCGATGGAAATTCGCAGAGTCGATGTAGTAGGGTGTATTGTACTTAGTGCTTATTAGTGGTTGATAGACAAATCTGGTCCCATCATTGATATCGATGGCGGCATCATATGATTTATCAAATTTTAGAAGACTCTTCCTCTCATCCACTCAAGGTAGATGATACCGTAAAGTGGAAGATCGGCACGAGCGTTACTATGAGCAAGTTTCTCCCTCCGTCCCGGGTGGCACGGCATCTGACGTCCGTGTCGTCGGAAACAATGTGGGAAAAGAGGGTCCCGAAACGCGCAAGTTGACTCCATTTTCCACGTGGAAATCTGCCAAATCACAAAGCTCAGCCAATTGCAACCCCTAGGTCAAGTTGCCGACGCATCTGTTGGTCGTCTAGTGTGACATTAGAACCGCAGTGTGGCATGGGTGGTGCTTATATTCCGGATAGGGAGAGTTAACGAGCTCAAATGTGCTCAAAACCCTGGGAGTTGCAGCGCAGGATTCCCGACTTCGCGAATCGAAAAAACGCGCTCAAATGTACGTGGCAACCGGTTTGATACCCTGATAGTCCTCAATATCACGGCAGGATTGTCTGCGATGGCCAATGCCAAATTACGCAAAATCTACTTCAGCGTCAACTGATCCACAAGCGAAGTGATTGTCAGCGTTTTGCCAAGCACGATGCTTATGACATTTCTATTGTAAACCCTTCCTCGCACTCGTCTTTGAGCAGAATTTCACTCCCAGAATCCTACTTGATTAATCGAAGCCTAACGCCATAATGTCTCTTCCCTGGCTGAGCCAACCGGTCATGTTACACTCCAGCCGCGATGCTGGAACTTGCTCTATGACACCTGAGCAATGTGCTTTCAAGACGGGTTACTGGGTGTTTTGGTACGAGGCTGATCATCGATACGGACTACCTACTGTTGCTTTCTTCGTAACGGTTATATTGTTTGCGGCTATTGCCAGCTTTGCCTCGACATACGCCCCGACATCGTGGAGAAGAAACTCATTATGGCTAAGGACTTTGTCATCAGGCCGTCTCTTATCCTATAAGAGTTGGCGGCTTGGTTCCTGGAACACACAGTCCCTAGGCACATATCTCCTCGGCGCTGTAGGTGCTATGTTCTTCTTAGGTACTACTACCTCCTCGCGTGAGGCCCTGTGAGATCGAAGACTGACAATCTTCTAGCAATGACCCTCGGTCCTCAGCCATACTACTGGCCTAACACCAAACAACTGAGCTTTGGTAACTCGCCGCCAATTGCCACTCGTGCCGGTTACATGGCATTGGCATGTATGCCATTTCTTTTGTGAGTAACTCGAGAAGTCCCCAAAGATCTTATTCTTGGCTTTTCTAACCCTGTCTCCGTAGCATTCTAGGCGCTAAGGCAAACCCGATTTCAGCCCTGACCGGTATATCCCATGAGAAACTCAATATCTGGCATAACTGGGTGGCATGGGCTATGTTTGTACTTGCGCTGGTCCATACGTTTCCTTTTATCGTATTTCACATCTGGAAAGGCGACATAGTCAAGCAGTGGAATGATGGAGGTATGTGGGCTACAGGCGTCATTGCTATCCTAGCTCAAGCATGGTTGACCTTCATGTCTATTCGTTGGGTCCGGTATGTTAACATGTTCATCGTTGTCCCCCCGGTTTCTGGATGCAGACATGAAGACATTACTGACAGTTAACTTGCTTTGCCAGGGACCGATATTACGAGCTGTTCAAGGCAACCCACCTCTTTGCAGCCGCTGTCTTCTTCATTTTCTTCTTCATCCACTGCGACTTCCGTCTCACCTCATGGGACTACTTCATCGTCACAGCTGTGTTGTACGCTCTATGCTTCTTCTACTCACAATTCAAAACCTTCATGGAGCACGGTGTCGATCACGCCCGAGTATCACTGGTCACACCACATTGTCTGAAGGTCGTCATTGAAACCAATGCCCGGTGGACACCGGGACAGCACGTGTATCTGAGGTTTCTCACTAGCGGCATGCACTCATTGACTGCCCACCCGTTTACGATCTGCTCGATCCCACGACACGGCCAGCGAAACGAAATGGTCTTCTATATCCAACCGAGAGGAGGGATAACTGCTAGGCTTGCTGCGATTGCTCGGAAAGTTCCGGAGGCACCTGTTAGAGTACTGCTCGACGGTCCGTACGGTGGCGTTACGGATCGATGGTTCGCTGGCTTCGACCGAACGCTCGTTGTTGCGGGGGGTGCAGGGGCAGGATTCTCTTTACCAATGATCGAGCACATTTTACAACGACAATATAGAGGGACCGCAAACACAGAGATGGAAGTTATTGTGGCAACCCGTGATCTCGAGTTCCGGGAATGGTACTGCAGAGCATTGGACGACATTATTGCTCGACGTCCCCATGCCGAGAACACAAAGGCGCCATGTATTTCAATTTCTTTCCATGAGACCGGGACCTCAGTGCAAAACAAGTCGACCTCGTCAAATCAAGAATCTCCGGCATACGATGCAGACAAGGAGGTGATTGAAACACCCGGGAAGTCTTCCGACACTGAATGGCAATCACCTTATGGGCTGGTCAGTCTACGCACCTCCAACGGACGACCAGATGTATCCGCAATTTCCAGGCGAGCCATTGAGCAATCAGGGAGCGTTGGCTTAGTAGCCTGTGGTCCGGCATCATTGGTCTTCGACTTGTCTCAAGTTGCGGCCGAAGCCCAGAAAAGCATTCTGCAAGGCGGAGGTGGTGCCAGTGAGGTCTGGTTCTACAAGGAGAACTTTTCGTAAGTCTCCAGTGCCTTTCTCCCATCCAAGTCCATGAATGCTAATTCGGCTTTCCAGATATTGAACGCGACTAGCATGCCGCAAAGACAACTTCCAGTTGCCAGCGTTGCACTGAGTACTAAAATACACGCTTTTGTCGCCCAATATATTATCGTAAATTGTACTGAACTTTTACATCATCCGGATTTAGGCTTGATCCCATTCCAACCACTTCCTGTGATCTTGAAGGTACTCGTGCCGTGATCATCCCTGGTGGGACGCGATCTTACTATCTAGCGCTTTGAAATCAATTGAATAATCTATCTCGTTTTATCTAGACACATCCATGGTCTTAACTTCATCTAAGACCAGCCGTTCCCCGACGCTCATCGGATGCATTGATATTGGGCGCAATCACCATCGATTTGGCAGAACTCGGAGGCCAGTGGGCAACCCGTGGCTTGTTGCTCACTGCGGGTATGAAGCAAGGGACGGAGGGCAACCAACCCCCGGTTGAGATTTCGGTTACGTTACCATAGCACAGCATGCGTTGTTACATCAGACCGTTAATTTGCGGGGCAGCTCTGCTGATCTATCTCTGAAAGTTAGATGAAGTGAGGGGTGATAACACTGAAGCCGAGATACGAACCAAGACATATATAGCTTTCCTGGATAAATGGTCAATCATCCTAATGGCAATGTAATGGAGGTGCATTGGAAGTGTTCGAAGAGGGCAGGTTATATCATCAACCTGCGCCGAAATAAGTTCAAGTCATGGCGCTCTTGCAGCTCATCACGGCATTCTTCTGCACTCCAGTGTTAGCAGGGGGTCTCCAACTTCTCCCTCCCACCCTCCGAACTTCGGAATCCTCTCCAGGCACTGTGTGGCACGTCAATAAAAGCCCAAAGACCATCTACATCGAGGAAAGTTTAGCCTCCAAAGCCGATACAGATGGCTTGACTCTAATTCCACCAAGCGGCCACGACTTTGCGAAGCTCTTCCAACAAGACATTAGCGAGCTTACAGGCGTCAACTGGACATTACAGCGCGTCGATCGTCTCCCCAACCCCACTAACGCCAGTGGCATTCTTCTCGGCTCTTTCACCAGCAACACCTCGTCGCTCACCTATGAAAATGGCAATCCTACGTCAGAAGGTTATGAGCTCGTCGTCTCCCCGTCTGGCGCGTTCATCGGCGGAACAGGCGCGCGGGGGATGTGGTGGGGGACCAGAACCTTGCTCCAGCTCCTGCTGGTAGGGAACGGGACTCTGCCCACAGGGCGATCGGTTGACGCGCCGGCCTATGCCACGCGAGGCTTTATGCTCGATGCCGGACGCAAGTGGTACGCGCCCGCTTTCCTCAAGGAGCTGTGCAGCTTCGCTTCCTTCTTCAAGATGAGCGAGTTTCACTATCACCTCAGCGACAACTACCCGCTCAACCGCGGGCAGAACGCGTCATGGCAAGATGTCTACTCCCACTTCTCGCTGCGGCCGGAAGATGAGAATTTGTTGCCGATCCTTCACGGTCGGGAGAACGAGACCTTGTCCCGAGAAGACTTTGCCGATCTTCAGAGTCATTGCGCGTCAAGAGGTGTAACTGTTATCCCGGAGATCGAAGCACCAGGGCATTGCCTCTACCTCACCAAGTGGAAGCCCGAGCTCTCATTGACGAAGCGCGACTTGCTCAACTTGTCTCATCCGGATACCATCCCAACTGTCAAGCGTATCTGGTCGGAGTTTCTTCCCTGGTTCGAGACGAAGGAAGTTCATGTCGGCGCAGACGAATACGATGCGACGCTGGCTGACGATTACATTGGCTTTGTGAACGAGATGTCTTCTTTCATCAACTCCACTACCGGTAAGAGAATTCGGATATGGGGAACAAACGAGCCATCCGAAAACAAGACTATCTCCAAAGACGTAGTCATTCAGCACTGGCAGTACGGCGAATCGGACCCGGTTCTGCTAGCAAACAATGACTACGATATAATCAACTCCGAGGACTGGTGGGCATACATGTCTCTTAAGAACGACCACATGCCAATTCTGCCTGCTCGCTACCCCCAATTTTACAACGAAACTCGAGTGCTCAACTTCGCCAACGAGCCTAAGTGGCAGTGGACACCGGCGGATTTTAACCCGTTCAACAAGACCATGCAGTTATCAGATAGTTCACCGGCAAACAGAGGTGCCATTCTTGCGGCTTGGAACGACAACGGCCCGGATGCCTCTACCCAGCTGGAGGCGTACTATGCCATGCGCCGAGGCATAGCGCTGGTCGGAGCACGCGCGTGGAGTGGCAGCCGTGGCGCACAGCTCGTAGACGAAGGGGTTGCGCCTAGCATTGACTTCTTCACGCCTCTCGCACCGGGGCAGAATCTTGAGCGTATAGTGACGAAGTCCAAGCCTACATGCAAAGGGCCATTAGTCTCATGGTCTCGTTCTACCAATGAGTCTGAGGCAGTACACCTTGGCCATGGAAGTAAGGGCATGAACTATACCCTGACGCTGGCTGTCACTGGACCTTTCACACTGTCCGGTCCTGATACCGCTCTCGCATTAGATGAAGGTGGCAGCCTCTCATTCACTGCGGACGGATGGCCTTATCCTCTTCGGTCCGTGAGCGCACAAGATGCTATGCAGCTTGACCCTGGGCACCCAGGCCGGATTTGGTCGAACGTGTCTACTTCGACACACGAGGCAGTTACGATATCGAAGCTCCCTGCGAGCGTCACCATCGTCACAGACGTGCTCCATGGAAGCATGGCCTGGATCAATGGACAGTTCGCAGGGCGTTTCGAAGTGTTTGTGTATGGGGGTCGTAACACACTTTTGAGCTGGAGCCAAATGGCCTTCGTTGCGCCGTTGGAAGATGTACGTGGCCCTGGGATACAGAGTCTTGTGGTCGACAACGTTGCCCATTTTACGAATTAGAAAGACCCCTTAGACCGATTCCAAGAGAGTACCTATACAGGTCGCGGATACTTCCATTCAATCGCGTCTCTTGTCGAACACTATGTCTAGTCAATTCTTCTGTGTTGTGCCCGATAGTGACCCCTTCCTAGATGAAAATTGATAGCCCCGGTCCTCTGTCACCAACAGCCCGCACCCTAGATTCAATCTCAAGCGGACTCCCTTCGTGTATCACAAAGTGCTCATCCTCAAGTTCATCCTCTAGACCGAGAATCCTGTACACATTCCTTCCGACCAAGTCCAATGCACTTTTCTCACTCAGCCGCCCTTCGCCATTTTTGAACGCCGCGCCCGCGAGCAAGCCAAGGTCTCGCACGATCCAGTCCTCCTCCAAGCCAATAGCCACATCAACTCCAGCCTGAACCAAGACGTCTACACTTGTGCCGTTTGTCAAAGGCGCGCCCGTAAGCGCTCGTCGCTGATCCCAAGAAACCGCAAAAGACTGCATTGGTGCCAAAACAACTCCCACTTTGGCTGCAGATAAGGCGTCAGCAACCAGGTGAGCTTCGGCGCCACCGTATACGACGAAACGAAGCGTGTTCGGGCTGTCTACGAGCTCTGAAAGAACCTCCTCAACACTGCTTTTGACGTCTAACAAGGCAGCGATGGTGTCTGCGCTATGCACAGTAACGACGAGTGCCATCTGCCCTTCGACAACTTCTCGGAGAAACGCGACCTCCGTGTATCGGTCTTCCACAAGGATAGTGTCATTCGCAGCGAGCGATGAGACTGCCGTGAGAAGCTTCCGTCGCAGCTCGCCAACACCTCCTGAGATGGATGAAATTCCATCAACCCCGCTTTTCGCGGAAAGATCGAGAGTATAGTGCACAGCAGCGTCGCGAGCAAACACGGCACCACGGTCGATAGTAGTCCCAGCCCCGGTGAGAAACCCAGTGCTTGTGCCGTGATGCGTGCCGAGAGCCGTGAATTTGGGGGCCGAGATGGCTCGGGTGACACCATAGCGGTGGGCAACTTGCAGTTTATCCGTATCGAGGGCGAGCCCGTCAACACCGCGACTGAACTTTCCCCCGTCCGCACCGTTGTCGGTATTTCGCTCCGAGTCTATGGCGTTTAGACCGATCGTTGAGCCAAAGGCGATGAAGGACGGAGTAAGATGGCCGTTTTTGAGGTGAATTAGATTACCTTCATGGCTAGACGCAACTTTGAGCTCGGCTTCGCAGCCTCCAATACAAGTAATCTTGCCGTTAGAGACGGCTACGTTGTAGGTTTTCCCATCGGCTGCTAAGCCACTCACTGTTACGGAGTGTAGTACTTTTGAAATTCCTGTAAAGACAACGTCGCCCTGCATGATCTGAGGCTTTACGATAGCCTCGCTGAGATTCTCATCGGGGACTATGGTACCCTCATAGGTCTTGTTAAGTCTGACTGGTTCGTCATACTGAGCAGTACCGTCAATCCAGACCTGGACTGGCGTAGCCCCAACGCTCAATGGGTCACTATCCCAGACGACGATATCGGCATCGAAGCCAGGCTTGACTTTACCGAGGCGATGCTCCATTCCCAGCCTCTCAGCTGGGGCAGTGGTGACGGATGCCAGTGCAGCGTGGTAAGGCAGACCATACTTGTACGCTTTCGCAGCTTCAAACACGACGTGCTGTGCATTGAGCACCGGATTATCGCTCACGTAGATGGGCGTCAGTCCAGCATCATAGAGATGTTTTCCCGCGTATTCTGAGCCCATAGCAGCTTCGGCTTTGTACCACATGTTGTCGGCGAAGAGGGCGGACGCTGGTGGATTATTTCCCCATGCCCGTTTGAGAATCTTGGGAATGACGAGTGAGTAAAAGACGCAGCAATGGGAGATACCATCAAGGGCTTTGCGAATACTTACCTCGGGCACGAGATGCGTCTGGTGGGCATGATGAAATGCGCGGATGGGAAACTTGAACTCATTCGTGTGATCCACAAAAGCTTCGAGATCATTAATGGTGTAGCAATGAGCATGAACATGGACTTGGCCCCTGAGCACAGCAATCAGTGCCTCCCATTCTAGGTCGTGGCTGAGATAAGTCTGGACATTGTCAAGACCTTGAGCAGCGGCGTGGCACCAGTCATCTTGCCCGCGAATCAACTTGGCAGCATGCTCGAAAGCCTGACGGAATTCCCAGCTTTCACCGAGGCGGCTGTACGGGCCACGTTCACCCGCCTTCCCATGGACCTGCTTCGAATTCTCACCACATGCCATCTTCATATGCCGCCAGGTATGATCCGGGTCAGCTAGCATATCAGTTACGCTTGTTTCATTGCGTCCGTCAGCAGCTCCGACGGCGTGCTTGATCACAAAGGCTTCGCCGCCAATATTGTTACTTGATCCAGGAAGAATCAACGACGTGGTAACGCCGCCAGACTTGATCACCTGGAGTTGATGATCCGTCGGCTGAATGCCGTCAATGGATCGGACATAGGGAGTGATATCTTTCGACAGCTCGCTGACATCCTCATTGCCGTGTAGTGTTGGCAGTGAGTGCACCGCAGCATGGCTGTGCATGTCGATGATGCCGCTGGTGAGCGGCCGCCCACCCGCATCGTAGACGAGAACATCTCCGGGCAGAGAGGCTATCGCTATGCCCTCAGCGACCTGTTTGATGAGGCCGTGCTCAATGAACACGTCGGCAGAAATCCATGAATAGTCGGCAGACCCTTCGACCGGCTCCCCGACCCAGATTGTTGCGTTCCTGATGACTGTGGGTTTCTTGCCGTCGACGTAGCGGGCGTTCCGTGTCCTCCCGTAACCAGGCGGGTCAATCGGTCGACTGTGCAGTTTTCCGCAAGTCGACAGATCCTCTCGCAGCTGGCGAGTTGAGAGCCCATGAATCGTAAATTCCGGCCCGGAGACGCCGCCCACGGGGTAAATCTGTCTCCATTGCGCGTAGACGATGAACGCGAGGCATGCTAAACCAAGAACGCGCAATGTTCGCGACCTGCGGGGTAAAAGTTGGAGAGCCGGATGATGCCGCCGCCGCACTGACGAAGAGAGGACACGGCGACTTTCAGCCGCTGTCGCCGCTGGCGGGCTGTAGGGCGGCAGCTCATCCATCTTTTCGGCGCCCGCAAGTGGTGCCATTGTTTGAGTCGTCGGTGTCGGTGGCTGAGGAAGACGACAGAGCCATAGGGTGGGTTTGAAGTCGGACAACAGGACACATACTGGTAACAATGGACAACAATAACGGCTCCAGGTCTGTTTGGGTGAGGGCGTCCTTGTCCCCAGCCTCCAAGGGGCTTTGATGATCGCAACAAGGATCCAGGACAGGGCTTAACTCGCCTAAATTAGTTCCGGGCAGCCCAAACTAAAACTAAACTCCCTCCCAGAGCTCTGTTTCCGCAGCTGATGATGTGGCCCTTATGGGTCTGTCAGGACATGGAGCTACTGGAGCGTACATGTATGTAGCCGTAGAGATCTGTTTGAAGACGTGGCATAGACTTTCACATTACTGGATTCTCAGTACCTAGCCCGTTTTCGTCTGTCATACGTTCCTCGTCCGGCGGGATGCCTCGATTGACTCTGGCCACTGACGCCATCTAGATTTAGACCCCGCTCTGATCACCGTGCACCTAGATGGTACAGCAGAGGAAAAAGAAATACCGCATGATGAATACGAGAGTGTTTGCCAGACTATCTCGGGAAGAGATGCCGGCATCTCGAACTAGGCGGCAAAGAATCGGATACGGGATCTATGTTGTACTACAAGATCGCTTTTCTGTTCACAATTTTGATGAAAGGTACAATGTCATTTTCATCACATAGACCGTCTCATTCAACTGTGAATCCCTCAAGGGGAATCCCCCACTTAGTGATAAGTCAAGCTAACGTAGGTACATGTATTTGGTCTCATTTATCTACACTAGTGCTGCCGCTTAATGGGCCTCAACCAAAGTCTCCTTCACAGCCGGAGCTTGCTTAAGCTCCTCAGACACTTCAGGCGCGTGCGCCTTGGCGGTCGGCTGCGCGTACGGAGTCCACTCCTCATCGGCAGTCATGCCGCCGTACAACATGGATGGGGGGGCAAGAGCCTGGATATCGGGGGTGGCCTTGAAGAGGTAGAACTTCTCATCATGCCACTGGCCAGCAGTGACGTATCTGCCCTCGCTGTCCTTGAACATGGTGTCGTTCTCGGCGCGGAGGAAGTAAGCGATGGAGTAGCGGTGCTGCTCAGAGTTGTATGGGACGACACGGTGGATGCACGACATCATGGTGTGGCCACTGGCAAAGCGGAGGGAGTCGCCAACGTTGATGATGGCGCACCCCTTCTTGGGAGCGACGAAGCCGAACTCCTTGGTGCCGGGAGGGCGGATCTGAAGTCCCCACTCCTCGGCGAAGAGGAGGGTGAGGGAGCTGATGTCGGTGTGCTTCTGGTGGCCGATTTGGGTGTCCTTGATGGGGTCGGCGGGGACGTAGTGCATCATTGCCAGTGTGGAGGTAGAAGGACGGTCGTTGCGGTGGGCGTTCTCGTAACGGGCGGCACCGACGAGGCCCATGGCGGTGGAGAGACCGGAGAGGACGGTCTTGGTAACCAGGTTGGATCCGGAGATGGCGTTCTTCAGAATTGCCTTCTCCTTATCGTTCTGGAGGATCTTGGGGAACTTGGGGTCGGATCTTTGGATCTCATCACGGGAGACCTGGAGTGGAGAAGGTTAGCTGGAGCTCATGTTCAACAATCATGGGAGTCTCAGGATAAAAGCTCACCTTGAACATCTCATATCCGTCTCTGGTGTTGGGAAGACCACCCGTTCGTGAGCCGACGGGCTCATATCTAGAATTGAGCCATGAGCATTTTCTGAGTGTTCCAGTCTCATTGATGCGGCCGACACTTACCCGAGATGTGCGGTGATGAGACCGAGCTCGTTCTTGTCCTCGATAGGGGCCTCAAAGTAGCGGTGCATGAGCTCCAGAGTCCTTTGCTGGTCGTCGAGGAATCTGCTGCCATCGAGGCCATTCAAGT